TTCCCTACTTTATCATAAAATTAAACGCTGTTATCAAAAAATAACATAATTGTTCCGAGTCACCTCCCAGTTCCGGGTCACCCGGTTTGACAATAATGTATTATTAAAGGAAAAAATGGGGAAGTTTAAAAAATCACCTTGTATAATAGGTTAAAAATTACCCACAAGTGGACAGGTTCATTGTCAGTTAAAAATTTTTTTTTTGTGTAACTTCAGAACAAGGTCATCATGAGTATGGACTATTCTGTAAGCCTTTTTACTTTTCTTTTCAAATTAAAATTATGAATTTGTTTTTCTTGTATATCTTTTTCACCATGTTCAAATGCCTCCGTGCTTTTCTTGGAGTTCTAAAATGACTTTGCGATAAAAGTCCAATAGAATTTGCATTTAGCACTTTACGTTTCATAGGACTTTGACAAGAGTTAGATTTTCCTGGATATTCAAGAGGTTCATAATCTTAGATGAAATAATAATAATACATTTATGCCCGGTTTCATTACCTAGAGTTGAAGTGCGAGTAACTGGTAACTCGGAGTTAGCAATAAAAACGTATTTCACGACCTCGGGTTAGGTGATAACTTCAAGTCAATGAAAATCTTTACTCCCAGATTTTAACCCCCAATATTTCTGAGTGTTAAGAGCTAACTCTAGTTAAAATCACGGTTTACCGTGATATAAACAACCATTGATAATGGGTGTTGTATATTATAATTTAAAAACGTGTTTTCATTTTTCTTTTGCCTTTAATCCGTGCTTTGAATGCCTTGATCAAAATTGAAAAATGTCTGCTTGTTTTTGTTTAATTCCATATATTGTGAATTTTTTTTTTTCGTTTGAATACGAATTTATGTACCGTAGAGTATTATTTGATGATGATTACGAGAATGATGACGAAGTTATTGCGATGCAACGGCGTCCTATAATTTTTTACGAGAGGGTCAACTTTCTCGAATTGTTCGATGACCATGATTTTATAAATCGATTTTGCGTTTCAAAAGCTACTTTTAATACATTCTTGAGATTAATTGAAAATGAAATATCTCCTCCTTCTACAAGGTAAGTAGACTTTAATTCCAGATACCTATTATTTATTTTGTTGTTTCAGAAACAGAGCAATATTACCTCCAAATAAATTATGTATGGTGTTAAGGTACCTCGCTACAGGTTCGTTTTAGTTGTGTGTTTCTGACTTCGCTGGAGTCAGTGAATCATCAGCCTGTCGTTACGTTCACCAAGTTTTCCGAGCCATAGCGAGGCAAAGGCCAAATGTCATTTCATTCCCAACTAACGATGTTGACGAAAAGAGGATAGTCAATAGATTTTACGGACTAAGTAGATTTCCAAGGGTAGTAGGAGCTGTTGATTGCACCCACATAAAAATTCAGTCACCGGGTATGCATAACAATATAACATATAAATACTATTGCCATCTGCTATGTTCTGTTTTATTCAACCATTGTGTGTTGTAATTTTTTAAGGTGGAGGAAATGCAGAAATTTTTAGAATCTGGAAAGGTTGGTTTTCTATCAATACCCAATGTGTTTGTAATCCATGGCTCAAAATTATGGACATAGAGGCGCGATGACCAGGATCAGGCCACGATCAAATAATTTTTGATAACTCAAATTTTAAACATAAATTTGAGACAGGAGTCATAAAAGGCTACCTCTTAGGTGACGGTGGCTATGAAGTTAATCCCTACCTTATGACTCTTCTCAACCCTACCACACGAAGCCAGCAATTGTATAATGAGAGCCACATCAGGACAAGAAATGTAATTGAAAGGTAAATATTGCTTAGATATGGATGACGGGGTAGAATCGGTGGCTTGGGTCAATAAAGGTCATTTGTAAAGGTAATTCCAGAATATTACATTTTTGGCCATTTTAAAATTGTAATGTAAATGTAAATGTCATAACATTTTAAATTTAATTAAAATTGTGATAAATGAAGATAACTACTTTGTTAAATTATACTTTTAAAATAAGTTTATTCATTACAATGTTGTAGATGTTTTGGTGTTATGAAAAGGAGATTCCCCGTTCTTAAAAATGATTAACAGTAGACTTGAAAAATACACAAGCAATAATAGTTGCATGTGCTGTTCTACATAATGTTTGTATTGAAATGCATGACACACTTCCAGATGATGAGCTGATGGAAGAAAACAATAGAAATAATGATGTTAACCATAGAGATGATCACAATGTTAATTTGACAGGAACAAGGGTTAATAAAGAGAGAGATAGACTAGTGAATGATCACTTCGCCAATTTACAGTGAGAATAAATTAGAATAGTAATTTATTTTAATTTTTAATATATTTTTATAAATTCATATTATTTTAATGATTAACAATTATTTATTTAATTATACAAATTACATTTGAAGTAGTTTTTGTAGAATTTGTATCTCTAACTTCATATTTGTCTCTTGCAAAAGTATACTCTATTCGCCGTAAGTTGACCCACTCGCTTGACGAAAACCGGTCGTCGGAGCGTTAGTGTTGATCATCGCCACTGGCGTATACGTAGTGATTTGATTATCTAAACGACGTATCGACTATCGACACTATCTCCGCGAACACGCGCAATAGATTAATAGATTAATTAGTAACAATTATTTTGTAAAACATTCTGTATGCACGGCGGCAGCTGCCTACTACGACGAGCACCGTCGGTTGCTGAACACAACTGACCAATCACAGACCACCGGTCTACAACGGGGGGGGTTCTGAACGTTCAGGCGGCTCAGTATGCATGCGCGCAAGTGGGTCAACTTACGGCGAATAGAGTATATGTTCCTCTTCCTCACTTCGTTTATTACAACCTCCTGCTCTAGATATTTCAACTGCAATGCCACAAGCTGGTCTTTATGCTGCAATAAATGTGTTGCCTCGGCAGTACGAGTCTTCTTATTTCCTAAAAACAAATGTGTAAAATTTCATTAATTTCATTTAAGAATGATAACAGAATCTAAACTCGCAAAATTAGGATGTGAATGATCTAAGAAAATATCAAAAAGACTTATGAAAAAATGCTTAAATGACCTAAAAAGTAAAAAGTGGAAAAATTAAAAAAAAGAAGTTTAAAATGAATACCTATGTTTATAGTTATAGTTTGATGAATTACTGTCTTGCATTTATGCAGAAAACCAAATCATAACAATAGCTCTTCAACAATAGTACAATATTATTTTTAAAAATTCAAAAATGACGTATAATATGAACAAAATGTAGTAAAACTAACCTAAAATGCAAGATTAAATTCAGATATTTTGAATCAGGGATGCTTGAAATGAGTTTTTGGGTAAGCTAGCATTGTATAGAATTAAAGGGAGAAAAATGCCAAAGTCATCAGCATCTTATTTCTAGTTATCAATATTATGAAAATTATGTGTAATGTTAACTCACTGAAAGGGGTTCTGAGAGGTGTGCTAACTTTTGACTTTAGGTGTTGAGGAGTCACCACATTCCATTGACTGACCAGTTGTATCTGGAATAAATCTTTACTATTAGACTGCTATTAGCCTACTTTTAAAAATGTTATCTATGGGTACATTATTGAATGAGAAATAAAAGAAAACTGTTGTAAACATACCTGGTTGAGTTGGTTCAGTAGTGATTTTTGACTTGACAGTTACAACTTCATCGGGCATTGTAGGTGTTGAACGGATTTGAGGAAATATAATAAAAATGACAAGTTGATTACTTATTATATTTATTATTGAAACAACAATTTAGTCATATTTCTGCGACGTGACGGCGACGACGATCAGGCAAAAGCCGATCCCGTCGTCCATCGCTGGCCGGGCCGCAGGCGGCGGGCAGACCGGTTGTCGGTCGCGATCTCGCGGACGTCGATAGAGACGCAGCGGTCGTTGCAATAACGACAGCGACATACTCCCCCCCGAGTCCACGAGACGCTCCCGACAACCGGGCTACTCCGTTGGGAGGGTGGCCAGGTCCCCGGGCGTCTCACCTCCGCAGCCTGGATCCACCGCTCCACCACGGCCAACTATTGCACCTGGGAGCGGTCCGGTGGATTGGTCGGTTGTTGTGTGGCTGGCATCTGGGCCGACTGCTGCACCGGTAGCTCAGCGGGCTGCTGGGCTGCCCTCTGGAACTTAGCTAGAGAGTCAAAACAAAAATCAAAATTATTTATGTCATTACAATGATTCAGAAGTCGGTACTCCGGACTATTTGCAATTAAGTTACTAGAGTACTGACGAACCCGAAAGGGAGGATTGTATCTAGAATTAAAAGCATGTACTCTAAAATTAATTTTTTGCAAGTTTATTGATTCGTTATTCCCACTGTCTGTCTTTAGTCGTTCCAGTCTTGAATTAAGCAAAATAAAATTATCAATAATGGAGAGATATGAATCGTCAGAACTGAAATATTGATCACACTTACCTTATCGAAGCACTTTTTTCTGCACAATTTTTTTTATGCTCTTGTACTTTAACTGCAGTTGCGCTACAGTGCGTGGAACTAATAGCGCTAGGCTATTGAATTTCAAGGCCAGTTTCTTCCAGCAATCTTCTTTTTCTTTCCACATGACAGCATCTGTTTTCATATTTTTCAGAACATGTTTGTTGGAGGTAACTAATTCAACAAGCAGTTCCTCTTCCCTGCTACAGAAATTGACGTTCCTCGCCCTCTTCTTTACTTCATTCGAGTTACTCATATTTGTATTTTGTAATAAAATATTGTCGTCAAGTATCAGTGAACAAATTACAAAACACAATACACAACTAAATTTGAAAAACGAAAAGTAATCCAACGATTTTATCATGTTTATCAATGTTATCAGTGAAAAATAAATGTTATCATTAATCGGCCATTGGAAAAGGCCAATTTATGGGCCAATCGTAAGCTAACCTCAGGTTAACTAACTCTCACACATAAACCCGTGGTGAAATCGAAAAAATGGTAACTCTGGGTTACTGGGTAACTCGGAGTTAACTAATCTAAACTTTAACTCCTACGTGGTGAAACCGGGCATTAGACTGTTATATTACCTATGTATCAAAATAATGTTTGATGATAAATACATTTTTGCATACCTGTACGTCTTGTAGATGTTAGAAATGGAACAGCATTATTTTTCAGATATCCACTTGGTGGATAATTTTCTGGCGAAAAATGATCTTGGCGTATCTTGTAGGATGGCGAATACCATTTTATATTACACACTTTAAACCAAAGTTGCTGACGATCTTTATTTTTAGGAAAGCTAAAGTAATATAACAACAAATATTTAATGCAAATTGAATAACATATTAATGTTCTAATATAAATTATTGTACTTACGAATGAAATGATTTCTCTGATCCCTTAATATCATATTTTTTACAAACAACACATATTCTAGGCATAATTATTATTTTTTAGCTATTACACTAACTTAAAATAAGATTGAAGTCTATTAATAAAATATTCTGTGAGGATGCAAACCACATTACGATAAATTTTACTATTGTAACACAACATGGTTGTGTTTTCGCGCATGCGTAGAAGAAGTTCCACAAATGTGCAGCGCACCCTATATTTGCCGTGGGAACTACGATCATGCTCCGTCTATGAATATAAGGTCTATGATTATATCACATATTCTTATTGTGCCCAAGGGTGCAGATTGTAAATTTCTTGTTAAAAATAAAAAAAATAAAAAGTTGATTAATATATGAAATTAAAAAATATAAATACCAGTAAAAAAGTGTAGATAATACAGTTGCATTTTTCAACAGTCAATGTAAATAATATAAAAATGTGCATGGTTTAGAATTTAATACAACGATTTTTTCTTAGATTTTAGTTTTTATAAACTTTTGAATAAAATCTGAAAAATCAAGTGTGTTGGTTTTTCCCTATCAGTAGATGGATTTTAATTTTTCTTAGTGAAAGGACATTCTTCTGGCGTTTTCAAGTAGTTCTAATTTTGAATTTGTTCTTTTTGCTTTACAATTCGAAACTGGCAAAGTTAAATAAAGTCGTAGAGAAATGTACACATTTGGAAAGACTTCTTTAAATTATTTTCATGTACATATAAGTAAATATTTTGAGGAGAAATTATTGGTAAATTTAACTGCATTATATAACTTGAAAAGTGCTCAATCTCTTGTTTTATATTTATTGTATCAATATCATCTTTAAATGTGCTAATAAATATGTCGGCAGAAGTCTCTGATAATAATTGTGAACCAAATTTTGTAATTAACCCAAAAATACTACAAAGATTATCATATGCGTTTAATCTTTTTTCAAGTTCAGTAACTAATTATTGATATAATAACGTAAAAAGTATCAACCCCCAACTTTCTTATTTCGCAAAAGTTTGAATTTCCTTCTATTGTACTATCCGAGAATTTTTTTTTACTAACAATTTTTTCTCCATTTGGCAAAATATTTGTTGATAATTCCTTTGCCTTGTTTTCAAAACATATAAACTTCTCTCTTAATGAACTAACATAAGTTTTTAATCCTTTTAATAAATTTACAGCTGTAGTTAATCCGCCCGCTGTTGCTTCAATACAGATAATTTTAAATTGTACACACCTTCTTCAATTGTATTTCTATTCTTTTTGACCTTTGTGATCAACACTTCATTTACATAATCGTGTTTTTGTGGCTGAGGTTCTAAAAATAATTGGTACAAGTGTAAAGGAAATCTCGAAATATATCTTTAAAACGTTTTGGAGTCCCTATTTTAGAATTTGTGCGTATACCAATCAGAAAATTCGCATATTATGGGTATTCGCAATATTTTAATTAATCGTCGCCTTAAAACCAATAAATTATATTATATATATATATATTTTTTAAATACCTTCATCAAATTCTGTACTGGATACATTCCAATCCCAAGATTTGGGTGAATTTAAAATATTGACTGCCGGTGTAGAGATATCAACATGTTCAACTAGAACACAACAATAAAATTAATTTAATTTAAGGTGCATTGTAGACTATCATCATACAATTTACCTTCACAATACTTTTTTGGTACCGCATTAGCATTAAGCCGTGATTTAGGGTCAACAGGATTGCTGTACTGATTTTTATCAAAATGTTCCGAGCATAAAAACTGATTTTTAAATTTTTTTTGGGCTTATTGCATCTAACTTTATAATCCCTAAAAATTAAATTAAGTACATTATTCTATTCATAAATATATAATGTTTGATTATTCTGAAATTTAATAAAAAAATAACATATATATATTATATATACAATATTATGTATTATAATATGTACTTACCGGAATTGATTATCCACTTTTTTAAAAAATTAGTATCTGAAGGGGAAAGGTATAAAATATTTTGTTTGTATTTTTTTGAATATTGTAACAATTAAAATAAAAGCATTTTCTCCTCGACATTTTAGCAGTGTATTGCGCAATATAATATAATTTACAACAAAAAAAACTAAATTAAGGTGGTGAAAATTATATTACGCCCGTACTACAATACCATAGTGAAAATATAATGTTTAAATAACAGTTCAACAGTCTGGAATATAGGAATGAGGAGCGTCTCTCACTATCGTGCTCACCGTCTCCTGAAAATGCTTATCATTGGTTATAAATAGATTATAATATTATATTAATTATAAATTTAATAAATGATTTATAATCAATGCCCGTATTCACCGTGGATACTTGGATTACTACTAAGTGATATTCTAACCTACAACAAGTTAGATATTGTACAGAGGATATTAAACTATGTCTAGATTAAAAAGAAATTTGGAAAAACTTACTGAAGTAAATAAAAAGCTAAACGAGAGAAATGCTGAGTATAAAAATATTATTTTTCTTCAAAGACAAAAGATTAAATGGTTTGAAGACTGTGAATTTAGAAGAACAGCGATTTGAAAATCGATTTGGTAATATTTTATCAGCAATATTAACGCCAACCCAAATCCAGTTACTATTGCATCCAAAAAAACACTTCCCAAGTGGACTACTGAAGATATATGTTCTGCAATCACTTTAAGAAGTATATCTCCCAAAATGTACCGCTTCTTAAGAACAAAGAAACTCATGCCCTAAACAGGTTAATACAAAATAATGCAGAACCATTTAATAATACTTTTAAACAAATTTTTTAACATACATTTTAATTTCTTAAGCTTTGTCAATGCTTCGAACATGGGCATCAACATATTCTAATAGCCCTGGGTTATTAACACATGTACTTTCTCTCATGAAATCAAAAGGTAAAAACAAAAAAAAAATTTTATTAATAATTTATACAATAAAATGTTTATTAAAGGTGAATTAATGAGTCCGATTGACAATCTATGTATTATAAGTTTTGATGAAACATATATCTAGTAAGATTTGTTTTGACAAGCAGAATGAACAAGTTTTAGGCCCATATAAATGTGTACAGACTGTTGTTGCTCGAGGTACTGATAAAAAAAAAATCCTACTTCGATAATGTTTTTTTTAAGACTGAAATAATTAATTTTCTATAAAATATTATAAATTATTTTTTAACGGTCTTGTTAGTAATTGGAAACAACCAATTTACTATAACTTTGATACGGCCATAACAAAGGAGCTTTTGTTAAATATCATAAAAGAGTTGTACAATGTTGGATATGAAACAATTGCTATGGTAAATGATATGGGGCCAAAAAATATGTGTTTATGGAGAGATTTAAACATTTCAATAGAGAAAACTTAATTTGAGCATCTTTGTAGTAAAAGACAGATCCATGTATTTTCAGACGTGCCACACCTTGTAATGCTGACAAGAAATTATTTACTTGATAAGTATTCATTGTTTTCAACTTATGTATTCATGACTAATAGTTCAATCTTTATAGAGGATTTATTCTACCAAATGGCACATTTGTTGGAAAGAATATTATATTTCAAGAGCTTATTAATTTAGATTCAAAGCATGACTATAGATTAGAGCACACAATTTCTGAAAGGCATATTTTAGTTAATGGACCAGGGCGTATGAATGTCAGGCTGGCAGTACAGTTGCTTTCTAATTCCGTATTAAAAGCAACGCCTATTATGGTGAAAAAAAATATATAGAAAAGTACAATGGGAAAAATGCAAGTTGAAATAACAATAAATAAAATGTTAACTTCAATTAATATGAATTAAAAGTTCTTAAAATCCACATAATATATTTGCCAAACAGGCAGCTGAAATGATATCATTATTTAATAAATGGTTTGACTTGTTCAATACAAATCAAAAATTTGACAAAGGTGTGGAAAGCTATGGCTTGAATTTGAACAGTCAAAATGATTTCCTAGATAAAATGAGTAGTTTCATACAAAACAAGAGGGTATATAATTTGAAATCTGGAGGAAAAGGAAAAAACATGTTACCTTTCCAGAAAGGTAAAATTGACTTTTGATTTTATAACCATTATTGATACATTAATATGCATGGTTTCTTTCAATAAAGGAATTTTAGTATGCAATTTGTCTCTGAACAATTTATTCCTCGATTTACAAAAATATCATGGGCTTGATTACATATTAACTCAAAATTTGAACCAAGACGTTTTGGAACATCTATTTAGTTTTTTAAAAGGGATGAGCGAAAGTACAAGTGGTAACATAACAGCACTAGACTTTAAATACTGGTATTAAATTTCGATGACTTAGAACATTAATGGTTATAATGTAATTTATGTATAGCTAATAAAATATAAAACATAATTCTTTAGTCTAAGGTGGTATATACTTGGTTAACATTATTCCTATGTTATATTTACCAATAACGCCAATGTAGAAGAAAGCTCAGAATCTAATTTACTAGAATTAGATGATTGCCAAACCCTCACACAGGAGATGATACAAAGTTCTATATTGAATGAAGACACACAAGATACAGCTAAAATTCAATACAGCAAATGTGTAGTAGATATGGTAGTTCCACAACCGCTTCATGATCTTCTACAATAGTTTGAGGTAAATATAAATAAAAACATATTAAACGTTGTAATGCATACTTTAAAAAGGAAGATTTTTAAAAATACCTACTGATTATTATTTCAGATGGAAGTTGAAGAGCCATTTGACCAGATAGAAGCAGAGATCGCACAGTATGTAGCTGGATATGTTGCAAGTCGATTTTCTACCAAGTATCCCGAATTAGTTGGGAGTTCTAAGTCACCGAAAAATCTAAATTGGATAGACTTTGTTATGAAAGGCAATCTTAAGACTCCATCCGATTATCTTTTCCAAGCAGTACAAATAATGGAAAAATATTTCAAAAACTTGCATGGAGACGGTCTGTCAAATTAAAAACAAATATTTAAAAATCTTACCAATACACTGACACTACACATTGAACATCCCAACAGAGGTTGTTCAGTGTTTAGTCCGAACTCGTACATACATTCGCCTCAACAATTTAAATAGACAAATCATAGACCAACAATTTCAAACAAGAGATAAAAAAAAAATTAAAAAATTAATAAAATGATTCAATTTGTATGTACTACCTATATTATTTACAAATAAAAATTACATATATAAGAATGAATAATAATATAATAGTATGAATGTATTACCTATTATCATTTCACCATTACATGTGACCAGTAACTTAACTACCTGTCTATTTAGTTTTATTTTTACAAAACAAATATATAAAATTAATAAAAAATCCCATATTTCAAAAAATCAGAAATTATTTTTCAGGGCAACGACGTCGAACGTATTTACAATAAATTCAAGATTATTAGAAACTAACTAACTAACCTTGCTTACAATTTACATGATATTATCATATGATATCTATTATGATATTATAATAGTTATTCTGTGATATGATAAGAGAAAAATTGATAATAGGCGCAAGCTGACAGCCATGTTATGCGTATCAAATATATTGCTGACATACCTTTTTTTTTTGTCACGGTGACTACTAGCGATTCCAACTTTACGGTACACTACTAACCAAGCGCCCGTAGCGCGGCGTAACGACACTGTGCAATCAGCACACCACCGAAAACACAGCCAGTGAGCTATCTAGTATACTATATTTATAATTAATGATAATATACTGGTAAAAAATTTAAATGATGAAAAGTATACTTGAATAAAAAAAGTGTTATGTATTTAGTTGGTACTAGGCTCTTTTTTCTTATTTTGATATTGGAACTTTTTTTTCCGAATGCCGGTTAAATCAGGTGTTCCGTACATAATTGCTGCCCGATTGTGTGAAACATAAAAACTAGAAGTCCACAACGCAAAATTCTAGCTTTGGTTTAGCAAAAAAAAGTTTTGAATACTGACGTATAGATAATTTATTAATGTCGTCATTTAAATCATTTATTTACAATTGATATTATAATAATATAATTGGAAGTTTGAATGTGCACCACATCCAGGCACGGATTCGTGAACTTAGCGGCAATCATGTAACAGATTTCAATTAAACCTATCCAACAATTTTGTTGGACGTTTGTTGGACATTATTGGAAAGGTTTTACAATTTGTTGGACCGTCATTAAAAAGTTATAAACATTTTTCCAAAACCGCCGCTAAGTTCACACTAACGGCCAATATTAAATCAAACACATAAAAAACTATACAAAATTGTTCTCCACGGTTTGTTGGACGTTGTTGGAAAGGTCCTGCCATTTGTTGGAACTCTGTTTATTTTTTACGAATTTTTGAAAAAGTGCCCCTTGGCCAATTTTTCTCAAACATTTCTAAAGCCATCAAAAACGGTTCTATATGGTTTTTTGGACGTTGTTGGAAAGGTCCTGCCATTTGTTAGAACTCTGTTTATTTTATAAAATTATTTTTTAAAATTGTTTATTTTTAAAGGAGATAACATTATAGTATACTATATATTTGTATGTAACAACATGTATAATTTATACCACATATTTTTAATTTTTTTTTGATAATTCTCATGTTTAAAAAATGTCAACGAATAAAATATAATAATTGATCAGTATAAAATTAAATTCCTAAACATAATAAAAAATTATGAAAAACAATATTTTCTTTTCTTGCATAAAGTTATAATGACATTAAAATTAATATTTATAAAATATTTAAAACTTATGAAATCGAAACAATCAAAATATAATAAATGTATTATATATTATACTAACAAACAAGGTATAAATTAAAAAAATTACTTCTAACACATACTAAAAAATTATAAAAAAAAAATTTCTCTTTTCATAAATAAAATCCATACTTACCTATAACATTTAAATTAATATTTTTTAAATATTCAAAACCTTTGAAATCTTAATCAAAATAAAATAATTACCAATTACATTATATAATAAAATAAAGCATTAATAAAAAATTGAAAGTTATTATTTTTAATGCTTTATATTAAAAATTGTATGTGGTACTATTCGCATTGTGTCTTTAATTTTACGAACTGTGCGAGTGAGATCGTCGTGCTATTCCCTTTTTCCACTCAGGCGTCTTACATATGCTATATAATGACCTATTCCACTTAAGCCACTTGGCTCTATGTATGCAGTTATTCCTGTGAGACGGTATCTGAAGATAAATTATTATATTTTATTTATTTATATTTATTTCTTTTATCGCATTTTTAATTTAAATACATTTTATTTTATTATGTATTTATAAAATTAATGATCTATCACAGTATTTTTTAAGTAAATTATATAATTAGATTTTTATTTTAAAAAATGTATAACTCAAAACTATACACATGTATGTATTTATTTTACGGTCAACTTTAAACATTCATGTTTCTATATATTTATGTTTAGCTTAATTGAATATCGCTAATATTGGTTGCATTATGATATACAAATTCATTAAACTTTTATTGGCAATTTAATTTAATTGGAACTTAATTTAATTTACTCATATTTTGTTGGGTATTACACTTAGATACAAGAATAAAAATAAGTTGTTTTATAAAAACATTGATTGTTAAACTTTTTTTTACATATCATATTTCCTCATTTTTTTCTATGGGTAAACCATCATTGACTTAATGGTAATACATATTTCACTTATTTCTCATTTAAATTAATTTCACATGATGTATTTTAAAGTATTTTAATTTGCAAGCCATATTATTTATATACATATATTATTATCTATTTTATTTGTATTTAAATATTCTTACTTATTGCTTTCTATGGAAATTTCCTCGGAAACATCATTTAGATAACACATCCAATGTATTGTTGCTATCAAATGTATCCATCACGGTTTCTATAATTACGTGGTGGCCTAATGTTTTTGTTATTGTTTGTATACCTTTGCATCCATCTCTTAAACATGGTCGTTTGTAAAATGCTAATTGTGATGGATACATAGTTACAGCGTCTTGCATATTATTAAATGAACCTATATAATATAACAATAAATTAATATTTTAATAGGAATAATATGATTACTTTCATCGCTAAATATTTTTATTTTAATAAAATTACCTTCGACTAATTTCATGAGATCAATCGGGAATAGTGGTAATCCTGTCACTGTTTGATTACATTTATGATTACTACATGTATTGAATTGATTTATACTCGTTGATTCCAGAAATAGTTTTTTAACTAATACATTTGTGTTAGCTTTAGCATCAAATTGAACGACATGTGCAAGTTCCACATTGCTTTTTGTGTACTGTTTTACAATTGAAATGCGTTTTTTGTAAAAATCCATATTAGTGCCATTCATAACCAAGTAGTGTGCTAATTTCATAATTTCGCATTCAGACACTCTTGCAACATTTGCATATGTTACAGAATCGATTATACTTGTAGCCAAAATTTGTAAAATTGAGTCTACTGGACATGTGTTTAGTACACAGATTTTACATTTATCGACCGTTATTGGGCGGAATAACGTTCCGTTCCGAGCTACATCGATCTGACGTTTCCCTTTCATATTTGTAATTTTTTTTCTTTTTATACGTATTTCTGGGACGAGCGTCTAGAGACAGCCCGCGAGCAAATTCCTTATCAATTTATTATAATATAATCACAGATATATAAACATATGTTTATATATCTGTGAATATAATATTTCTTATCGTAATTTCTTATCAAATTTGAATACCATAATATTGGATTTTTATTTTATTTTTTTGTTAATTAACCCTTTCACTGCCGCCGACGTACTATACTACTATTACGTCGAAACCAATTACACCGCTCACTGCCGCCGACGTACTATTACGTTCTAATCAATTAAAATATTTCAGAAAACGTTATCAGTTCGGGAATAGGTTCATTCTCTAGATAAAATAATAACGAATTTAATGATACCAAAATCTCGTTTCTACCTTCATTTCTCTGGTTGTTATGATTAATTTCAATTTGTATTGAAAGTAGTGCATCCCAAAATGTGATAAAATATTATTGCGCGCACGTGTGACACACTATCAACAGTCACATATCATTTAAATTTATGGAAATATTATAAACAATTCTTCGTCGTTCTATTTATATTATTCTGTTTACTGTTTTTATATTTATAAGCTGTGTATATAATTATTATTCATTATGAATGTTATCTTGAATAATTTTCGTACCAAGTTCGTGCGCAAGTACTGTTATAATAGTTTTTTATTTGACAATATAATGCTTTCTGACGCCCAAATTGCAGAAAGTCTTGATGAAATCTTACAAGATGTAGATTCTGATGATGATTTTCTTGATTTCATAAATTTTGATGATTCTGTTGAACCAGAACTTCAAGGTAATTTATTTATTCTACATTATTATTTCATCCTCGACAAATATTAGTGTTACAGTTTATATATTTATTAGATTTAGAACCCAAATGTATGCCTAGTGTTCATCAATTTGTACCCACTGCTCCCAAGAAAAAGAATAAACCATCTGCACAAAATTTTGTTTGGAAAAAACGTGGAAACTTTGTTCCTAAAATTCACGATTTTGATCCTTCTAAGGTAATATATATTTGTGTATAACATTTTATATTATTTATTTATTTTATTTATTTTACTCCTAGAGTGGTATAAACAAAGCAGAATTCGAACTATCAGATCAGTCATGTATTTTAGATTTTTTTGAGGCATTTGTTACCCCAAGCTTATTGGGGAAGGTTGCTTTTGAGACCAATCGATACTGCCAGCAATTTGAAGATGTTACACCTGGCTCTAGGTAAATATTTAAAAAATATTATTCAGACAAAGTAATATGTCATTGTGTTATTATAAAAAATATTGCAAATTACATTATAAATTTTTAATTAGACTATGAAATAGAATTATTACATTTTATTTTGTTACACTTACATGATGTAAATTAAAAAAATTATATGTATATATAAGACATATACTTTTCCAAAATATGACCTGAATAGATGAAATATATTCTATGTTATTATAAGTTACACCTACTTTTTACTAGTTATTATAAAATGTTTGTTTTATTTTATTAGAGTCAATCAATGGGTGGATGTAGATTGTGAAGAAATGTTTGTGTTCTTAGCAATAACAATGTTGATGGCCAGAAACAAAAAATTGGAAATACAAGACTACTGGTCTATGGACCCTTTATCTCATCAACCAATATTTGGCAAATACATGAGTCGCAACAGATACCAAATTATATTGAGAATGTTTCATTTTAGCCAGAATGAAGATCAAGTACCATGGGACAGACTTGCAAAAGTGCGTATGCCTTTGAAAGAAATTACCAAAAATTTCAAAGAAGCAATGATTCCTTTTGAAAACTTAGCAATTGATGAAAGTTTAGTGCTTTGGAAAGGTAGATTATCGTTCAAACAATTTATAAAAACCAAACGACACCGTTTTGGAATTAAAATATTTGTTTTGTGTGATGTCGAAACTGACTTTATTCTTGACATCATAATATATACTGGGAGTACCACCGAGTATAAAAAAACTGACCCTAGCCTTGGAATTTCTGGTGCTGTTGTGAACACACTTATCAAACCATATTTGAATAGAGGCCATAAATTGTTCATAGATAATTGGTATTCATCACCATCCTTAGCTAACTATCTTCATAAGAGAAAAACTAATGTCACTGGGACAGTTCGAAAAAATCGAAAAGGTATGCCGTCCCTGTTAGCTAAATTGAAAGTTGGACAAACTGAAAGCCAACATACAAATAATATATTAGTAGTCAAGTGGAAAGATCGTAGGGATGTATTTATGCTCACTACTCAATTTGAAGACAAAATGGTACATGTTGGAAAAAATGATCATCAAGGTAATAAAATAATGAAACCAGAAGCAGTAATGCATTATAATGAAAGCATGGGGCCAATCGACAAAACGGACATGCTTTTGAGTTCAGTAGAATGTGTGAGAAGAACAATCAAGTGGTATAAAAAATTATTTTTTCACCTGATTGATTTGTCACTTTTGAATGCATACTCTGCATATAAAACGTGTACTGGACTAAAAATTAGCCTTGCAGACTTTCAGTTTCAGCTGATACGTGAAATATTTAAAAAGTATGCCACACAAACACAAAATATATGCCGCCGTTCAAACACAAGTTTTTCAGAGCGCTTACAAGGGCGACACTTTCCTTCGACAGTACCACCTACATCAAAAAAAGTAAAACCCCAAAGGAGATGTTTAGTTTGCCAAAACAAATACAACAAAAGGAAAGACACAATATATATGTGTATAAAGTGTGATGTAGGGTTGTGTCCAGTTCCTTGTTTTGAGATTTACCACACTCAAGAGAAATATTTTTGAATATATTATAAAAAAAATTATTTATTTTCATGATTATTTTTTACTTTTTTTTTTTAGTTATTTTTTATTGTTATTATATTGTGTTTATAAAACTGTATAACATAATCTAATAAATATTAAT